TTATGTCCTGATATGGTAGTCAGTAAACAGATGATGTTGACCAAGTAGAGTCATCACAATACAGGTGTGTATGTCCTAATATGGTAGTCAGTAAACAAATGATATTGACCAAGTAAAGTCATCACAATACAGGTGTGTATGTCCTGATATGGTAGTCAGTAAACAGATGATATTGACCAAGTAGAGTCATCACAATACAGGTGTGTATGTCCTAATATGGTAGTCAGTAATCAGATGAAACTGTTTGGTTGTGGGAATCACATAGAAAGGGTATATCAGTTGTTACCTGCTTCTAACCTGGCAAAGTCTTTTAACATTCTGTAAGCTGTACAATTATTTACTCTTAAAGTTGCTGCGAATATAGTAGGTGTCCCTGGTGGTATTTTCAACCAGTCATTCTCATTCTGTACTGTATGGCTACACCATGTACCTGAAATAAAACATGTTTTTGAGCACAGACACACCTCCCTGTGTATGTAAGATTATCTGCTACTATAATGAAGTAAATATGGTATATTGACCAATAACAGACCTCAGCATTACTACAGCAGTTTTGTCAAAGTGTTTAAATATACTTACCTATGCCATTTACACCGGGAATAACAACATCACCAGGCAGCAGTTTTGTAACTTGTTTACCAATTTCTTGTACTACACCAACCCCTTCAAAGCCTCCCACAGCCGGCAAAGATGGCTTGATTGGGTATACACCTAGTAAATAATAATGCAAAGGTGAATCAGATCAGGATAAAAATGAACTTGACACATCGTGCTAGTTTTGAATTCAAATTCACTGTCAATGGGAATTTGATTATTTCACTTTTAATTTTTAATTTATCATAAAAATCATAAATTTGCGGCCACTCCAAAAAGTTGCCCGCGTAATTATTTGACAGATTTTTGTAATTTATTGGCATCAAAAATTTTAACCAATTTAGATTTTCATCTAAAAAACACACTAGTTATGAAAGGAAAATTTCCAGACTTTTCCAGCTAAACAATCCGGGTAACATATGAAGCTATTTTTTACAGAAATTGGAGAAAATTCAGCATATTTTAGTGAAAAAAATGTTCACATATGAATATTAAACACAGAATCTAGAACACTCTCCCAGGGTAATTAAAATCGTAAATAGAATTTTTTTCCCTCAAGCTGTCTCCATTTTTTTTAGGTAGGTGCCTGGAGTAATAGAATTTGAAACTGAATACCAACATTTTCACAGTGCAATCTCATTAAATTATTACTACTAGCAGTGAAAAGGTGTATAATAATAATCTTATCTTGAGAATATCACAAAATATGTACTCGGGCATTCCTATTATGTCATTGAGGCATTCCTATTATGTCATTGATGTTAAAATAGATGTGTTATACCATAGACCCTCTTTTTATACCAAGGATCAACAGTTAATATTGAATCCCAGAAAGTTATGCATGATTAGATCTTATACATGTATTCACCAAGATGGTTAAATCAAAATGATAGTTAAAATAGTTGAACACATGATTAGATCTTATACATGTATTCACCAAGATGGTTAAATTAAAATGATAGTCAAAATAGTTGAATACATGATTAGATCTTAAACAACAATGTTAAATCTTAGGACTTTAAGTTCAAAGGAAAAATCTCAGATGCATGTTCCTCCATTTATGGTGTGGTGTCAACAAGACAAAATATGACTGTCCATCTATAATTTAAATAAATTCTAAAATATTTAAATACAATTGACAGAATTAAAACAACTGAATATTAGCAAAACACTTTTCCCGAAATGGAGATTATCTCTAAATCGAGAGACATTCTTCTGATCACAGTATTCCATAACAATGATTATTTTTAACAAACATTTCCGAGGAGTGAACAATTGGGTTGAAATGCAGTAAAAATATCTCCCAATCAAAAAAATTGTATTTTATTTTTCTCTTTTCAAAAAAATTGGTAACGACCGACCCTAAAAAAATGAAAGCAAAGTTTGTTGTTGCACTCCACGGTTTTAATTGCGTACGAATCTCATAAATTGAACATTTTGGAGTTGTCAACAAATGAATTCACATCGGGTGATTGTCTCCTGATCAAGAACTAAATTTATCTCCCGATCTAGTGAATTCTCCTGATTTGGAGATAATCTCCAAAGTTAAAGCGCGATGGTCGTCGCGAAGCGCGTGTTCGAATTTCATGTAAATAAACAATGTATTTTACACGCTATACGTCGCTATGAGTCCCATATCGAACAGGACGCGGCGACGACTGCCGCCCTTTAAGTTACTGAATGTAAACAACTTGACTTACTCACTGAACAACTTTAGATGGATCACCATATTCTGAATATTTCAACGCACATGGATTACTATACGCTCTAACATGAGATTGAATAACTATAGCGTGTGTACTTGAAATCATACATCTCTCCAATAGGCATAATTTCCACAGAAATCGACATCGATGATAACTACACGTTGTGATCATGGGAGCGGCCATTTTGGATATGTGACCGGCGGTTGACCCTAAAGATTGCTGCCTTCAAACTGACTGACGTGCGCATTATATAAGCCCCGCATCAAATGCAGTTTTTACCACAGGCAGTTAGATACACATGGTAGTATCATTTATATAATCACAAAACCGCAAAACCTACAAAACCAATCGTATCCAATCCGTGACTGTTAATCTCCACAAAGGAGAATGGATAGCGCCGCTAACGTTAGTATAATTAAATTACTTTGTTTTTATTTGTTCTAACAATATTTGAAAACGAGTTTCCGAAAGCGTTGATTCTGTGAGTGATGTGTATTTCAAATTACACATTGAACGCACACCATACACACTCCGTGGTAAATAACAGCGTTTAATTTGTGACTTAATATGCTAGCATGTTTGTATGTTTGACATTTTTTTTCAAATTCATAGTCATATAAATGTTTTCAACTACTAGTATTGGGTTTTAGACGGATGACTTTTAATTACTTCAAATTTTGAGCTGGCATAATGACAGCCAAGTTTATTTTAAACTATATTCGTCCCACTTAATTATCTCAATGTTCGTGTTTATTTTCATTTTGTGTCGGACAATTGAGCTTGATTACAATTTTAAGATTCTGACTGAGATTTGGCCAGCCAATGAAATTGTTTTAATTTCAACCAATCAGCTCGTTTATCTTTTTACCAAACATGTCCAAGGACAATATTTACTTGTGAGAATATAAATAGGATACGAAACGTCTCTTCTTCAGTTCGTTTTGTTCGTTCTTCCTTCAAAGTTCGTTCAATAAAGTCATATATTGCAGTCCATACGCGGTTTATTCTTCCTTTCCTAAACATGAACCTACTCTTCTTAACAATTCCCATATTCTTTTGGTGCCGAGACCAGGATACAGGATGGCAGAATCCGCTCAAGCGACACGTCTACTGAAGTTCAAAGGTACCCGCAGCACACTGCGGTCAAATGACAAACTCCTCAGAAAAGCCGAAGAAATCATCAAGACGCTTCCTCAAGATTGTAAGACGATTTTTTAGATAAAATCATCGCTACCCGTGAATTGTTACACGCCAAATACGAACTCCACGTTTTTGTAGATGCTAGCGATAAGGCCTACGGTGCAGCCGTTTATTTACGTTGTGACATGCAGTCCTGAACTTGAACCTACTCTTTTAACAATTCCCACATTTTGTTAATGTTTAATAACAGATACAAGACTGTCTGGTTATGTATATATTATATTCCATGGTAGTAAATGACAACTATTCGTTTACGGAACAGCGCTTATACGTAATTTGATATCATGCTGTGATCACCTGCATCGACTACTAGTATATTCGAAATACTAGGACGTTCATTAAAGGGCGCCATCACACGGTTGATGCATTGTGTCAACACAGGTGGCGCTATTCAGCACGGCGATCCGCGTGTCAATGGGGTGTGATGAGTTCTTGACAAACCTATTTTAATAATGTTTTAATATTTTAATAACTGTATACTTTTTGTTCCTGATGATATATGTATTTAGTGATTGGTACACATTGTATTGAAATGCTAATTAAATGTACACCTGGTTATGCCAGTAAATCTGATAGGTGCGTGTATAAGAAAAACGCGATTCAATAAATTGTACTCAGTGTTCTTGGTCGTATTTGTGTCTCGTCAGTTGTATTGTGTATGTGCGTGTTATTACCACAAGTCCACCACAGAATACCACATCTAAATCTACAGTAAGGTATTATTTCCCAAATATATTGTGCGCCAATTACAGTGAATAATTGCGTCAGTCATTAGTGAAATGGCCGCGGGGTATACATATTGACTTTTATTAAGCATAACAAACAGAAAATTCAGTTTATCACGATCCATGCCATGGCACACACACTGGCATTACTGTTTTTATCTTTGCTACAAGCGTGAGATTATCCCAACATTTCAGTCGTCTGTGCATTTCGTGGCACGACGAAACAATCTACACAGAAAACAAGTCTCTGGCGTATGTATGAGTCTATGAAACCTGTCCACAACTGAATGCTATGAAAATTGTTACTTTCTTGACGATGACTAGTTCACATTAGACGTAACAAATATTTTAGGAAAAGCTAAGCGTGAATCATGTTGACCTTCAGTAAAATGACACGCCCCTGTATAGTTTCGGACTTTTAAGAACACCCCCAGATCAAAGTAACCGTAACTGTCAATGACGGCTTTGTTGCACCTTTTAATAAACGAATTGACCAACTTAAAGTGGCATTCAGCCTTCGTAATGTTGTTAGAACTCGCTATATAGAGTCTATTGAGAGGTATTTGGGCTTGTGAAAATGCGCGGATAGCGAGAAAACAGTCCATAACCAGCGGAATCACCAGCGGTACACTCACCGACGCCTCCCGATCGTTACCGATTCAACCCGCGTACTTCCGGTGCTTTGTTATGAGAGTCACATTTTAATAAACGAATTGACCAACTTAAATATCAAAATCAATTATAATTAATAATAAAGCAACGATTCAAATAATGGCTCCTGTTCAACTTCTGGCATACGCGAATTAATTACTACAATAATTTATTCACAATAACAAAACAATTACGAAAACTGGAATATTTAATAATTATTATTGTCATGTTAACGACACGGATCCATAAGTCTATCAAATTTAGACTTCGATACATGCAATACGGTAGTCATTTGCCAAAACACTATTATGGTGAAAATTAATTTAAATAAAATTAACTTCGTGATATTACTGCACTGTACACAAATATAATCGAACTTGACAGAATATGTAGTCATCAGGTTATTAAATTTGTGGCACTTTAGATACGACCATTAATATATCAGTACGAACAGTACTTTTTAGCAACATGTAATTATTTGTCCACGAATAATTCTCTTCGTCAGAAGAAAATGCGAACAATATAATCAACACCGCACAAATTGCTAACAGTTTTAAAATCACTACAAGATTACGTATAAATGTTAATGGGACAACTCGGGGAAATATTATCTCTTTCGTGTTTGGGACAATTCAGGGATAATATCATCTGCTGGAGCCCCCGGACTCAGGGATAATATTATCTTCCTTGCTGTTAGGACAACTCAGAGACATTCGTATGTACAGATATTCCGGGCATTAACTCATCCTAACATTGGCTAAATATATTTCATACATTTTTTACCCAATGTTCACTCACATGAATCTCTCGTGTAATCTATAATTTGAGCAGCGTATTCCTATAAGACCACACTTTACTATAATACTAAATTACGTCATGATATTATGTTATTCCTAGAATACATCTCCCGGGCCACACTTTCTTATAATATTTAAATCGACATCACTCTGTCCGTGAATGTTTTAAAAAAATAGTTTTTATTTATACGTGGATATCCGATTTAAATCCATTTGGATATCCACGTATCTATGAATTTATATCGGACATACATTTGTATCTGCGTATTTTTACCTCTCATGAACAGTCCGATGTGGATCTTTACAGTATTTTACAGTCTTTCTAATTTTCTAATTTGTTCCAAACCCGCAATATTCACCCGGTAAGTACATATAGGTTTAGATGGGTAAAATATGGGATTTAATATTCTACAATATCCCGTAAGGAAATCTACGTTGCCTATAGATACATTTTCAATTAGAAATATCAGGGACTGGATGGTTTTAGTTTTTAGCAAATATTTTATTCACATTCCCTGCGACATTTTTTAATCACTTTTTCCCAATTCTTTTACAATATTTAGTCGTCGTTGAAAGATTTTTTTCACCCACGGCAATTGTTACTTCGAAGGCCCAATTCACCTGCCCCGGACATGGAGGTACTTAGTAATGAGTCCTGTTAATCACTTGCATAACCTTTGTTTACACGACCCCGCCGAGTTACTTATTGAAGGTGTGGTGCGATGTTTTTATAGTGCGCCACGAAGCGTCAAGGTTTGACAGTTTTACTTATCCAGGTCATAGCAAATAATGAGCAGAGCAATCATTCATATTCACCACGTGTTGTTGCTTTACACTTTACATATCCAGGTATCGATGGTAAACTTACTATTATATAGTGGGGGTATGTCCTAGTTTCTTTATGGAGTGTCTGTTGCAGTTAGTGACGTAATTATGACGCGAAAGGAAGTTTGACAACCTCGTGATCCCCTGTAAGTATATGTGTTCACAGTCTCTCTATTAAATGGACTGTGATATATAACATTGTGTGTTTATTTAGAATTTGTCTCCCATTATTTATCCTGTAATTTATTAACTAGTCAATGTGTGTCCATTTCACTGTGAAAGGAAAAGGTAATGTTGACGGGGACTTTCAGTTTAGTTCAATTACGATAAATTGACAACTTGGATATAACCATGGACTTATATTAACAGTTTAGAAAATAGATTTGTTCTCGTAAATTTTAACGCTATTTTTTTCCACGGACCATGGAGAGATAATAAATATCCGTGTTTATCTTCGTGCACAGACAGACTCTCACGAGAGTCTCAATGCCACAGACAGAATGTAAGCCACTGAGTCAATATAAACCATTGAATTCTTGGGTAAATAAAGACACGTGACTAAATATTTAAAAAAGCAATAACCATACGTATCATGATGGAATGATATGGATTACTTCAACTTTATAGAAGTACAGTCTATAATGGCATTCATACGTCTGATTATTTTCTTTAATATTTCTGAACTTCTTTCATTTGGGAACGTAACCAATCTGATTAAAATAAGTTTGGGCTTTATTTTTTATTTTTTCATATGTTTTAATTAATTAATTATTTATTTATTTATTTATATCATACACTTTCTTTTTACATTGTTTTTTTTTTAATTTATTATTTATTTGCTGGCAGTTTTACTTAATGTAATACAAAATATGATGTACGTAATAATAATAACAACAATTAAAACATGCAAAATAATAAAAATATACCGTAAAAATAAAATAAAATAGATTAAAATTAAATTCGTGCCGTACAATATATCATATTTTAATCAGAATGTAACTAGATAAAAGATACTAGTAGGAGTTAACATAGTGACGTCATAAAATGTTTTTTATTCACGCGACAATGCCGACCACTCTGAGTT